AAAGCACGTATTTTTAGTTTTTTAAACCATCATTTATTCATTGATGAATTAATCTTAAATGCGTCATTTTTTAGAATCTGAAATACCCATTGGCATCCTATCAGTGCATCGAAACGGCCTGGTTTGCAAAATGTAGGATCAGCCAACTGAAGAAAATCTGAAAGAGCTAAGTTTGAAGTATTTCATGCGAAAGCAGGTGTTAAGTCAATGATATTTTTCACTACTGAAACTTGCACCGGCATTAGACATAAAAGTACACTTTTTGAATCGAAGAGTTTGTGAGAAACTATTTTTTTAAATCCGGTGACCTCTGAATCAATTCTCAGCTGTTTTGGTAAAATGAAGCAATGAATGATGTTTCATTCCACAGATCCAACCAGAGAATTTAGAAAAACAGATAGATTTCTAAGTTTAGTAAAACAAAAGGTTTTTTTTTCACATGCACGAGTCCTTTTTTATTTCCCTTTTTAGAAAAACTAGATGATTGTTTATATAATGGTAAGAAATTGCTGACGCTTGTTTTCACTTTTAGGGTTGTAACTTAACCTTTTAGTCACCAAATCTGGAAATGCGACCTGGAATTAGTCGCCAAATCTGGAAATCGTTATTCCTGATGATTCTGATCGGGACAATGGGACAAAATTATAAAATTATTGTATTGTCATCGGTCCTTGACAAGTGTGCAAAATTTTGAATTAATCTGACCTTTTAAAGTGCGTAAAAATGGGGCTCAAATATCCCGTTACATACAAGTGAAGCTTGTAAAAGCGTGTTAAAAAGAAAAATCTCTTAGAGGGACTCAAAGAAGAGTTTTTTTCCCCGCATGTCTAACTGGTAAACAAGTTAAGTGGCATCTTTTCTTCTGCATGATTGAGATTTCCAATTACAATCAGTGAACCTTACATAATGGAAAAAAATTCTTGTTTATTTCAAGATTTCATTAATCTTGCTAATGGCCTTGAAGAGCAAATTTGATGCATTTCTGATACAATATCACGGTATGAAATCATAGATGAGATTGAAGACTCAAATTGGGCAACACTACAAAAAATGAGTTTAATATTTCATCTCTTATATCTTGGGGCTGACCAAATGTTTATTTTGTACACTAAATTGAAAAAATACAGACTTATATAAAGTTTCATGTTTTTAAGGATCCAACATGGAAAATGACTATAAGCGTTTACTTGTATAAATATCTAAATATTTTACTATCTGCCTGAAATATGTATGAAAAAATGCCTTCTGTGAGATTTCAGTTTTACTATCAATATGTCTTTTACTTAATCTTCTGTAATTTTACTGGATGGAATATTAGAACATACCTGATGAAAGTTTTTCAATTTTAAAATTGTAATATCATAGGCAATTTTTGGTTATAACCAAAAAATCAGTTATTAAGAGCAAGACATTTCTTGCTGAAAAAAAATTTCCGATTTGTGTGGTTCTTGTTCTTTTTATACAAAAATAACCTTAATCAAATCTGATATTTGTTTTTAATGAATACAACTGGTGTATGATTCACAATGAGGTATACATAAAGTGAAATTCGTTGGATTTTTCGCTTTCATTAGTGTACGAATATTTATGTTTAATTTTTACAACTGCAAACTTAATGAATTTAACACTAATAATGCATCTTCATTTAATAATTTTTCATTTAACTTTAAACAAAATTTTCATTCTAAAAATTCTTTTAGAGAAACATTTTTTCCTACCTCTACTTTACTACCTATAGATTTTCCCTGTAGTTTTGAGGTCAAATTGCCAACATATTACCAAGTAAACAATCTTTAATTCGAATTCATTAAAAATATATTCATTAATTAAAAAAGTTTTATTCATATGCAAAAGTGATAAAAAATATCCTTGAATAGTTAACTTACAATTTCACTGGAAAAAATGATTACATTTTTTATGTATCGGACTCTATTTTTTTCCAATACATATGAAACTCCGTTTAAGCACAACCATGAAATTAAAAAAAAATTAACATCAACACCAACAAAAAAAGCAAAACGGAAAAAGCAAAGCTAACTATTCGTAAGCTACCTATTCAGCATAGCATGCGTTACACGAAAACGCAACAACCATTAAAAATATATCGTCCTGTACCGGGAATCCCTAAATCATTTCTTTCGACGTACGTTAATTACCTTCACGAGCAGAGATAGTAAAATTAATGGCTTCTTTTTGCCCTCTCATGAAATGAAAGGCTCCTTTCAAACGGAAGGCGGGACGTGATATCTTAATACCTGCTTTCAACATCAGTTATTGTGTTGTGGAGGAGGCTGTTCCTACATTTTAATAACGCTCCAGCTCCAATGGATGGCTTTTCGAGCTTGGTGTGCATCCTCCTTCGCATCATGCAGCTGATTGGAGGCTTGGGATTTTATTAAATTGGTCGTTTCCTCTAGATTGTGAGGGGTTTGCTGTAAAATAAAATGTAAAAAGACATCGATCAGTATTTGAGACGTTGCCTTGTGTGTCTTAAGTTTGAAAAAAAGGATGTAGTTTATGTTGTTAGAGATGTAAGGAGACATATCATCTCATTTTGAATGAATACGGAAAGAATTGGTTTGTACATCCTTTCTGACTATGACATCTAGAATAGAGGAATTGTACTGGTCTGACTTTTTTTTACAAGCTTTATTTTCAATTCTTTTAAATTATTTTTTAAGTTATATAGTTTTATAATATATTTTTAAGTCATGTTTTGTAAATGCTTGACTTAAAAATATAGTCTAAAAATAAAGTAAAAATAAAACAAATAATATTTTTAAAAAAGTGAGAATAAAAATTTTCCAAAATTGTTCTGTTTTTTAAACTTTTTTTTGGTTTCAAAACATATATTCCTAATATTTATTTAACAACAGGATTTACGAGATTTAAATCTCTTTGATTTAAATCTGCATTCAAAATATTATGATGTTGAAGAGAACTGAAAATTTAATTAGAATTGCTGCATATTAATTTTTCATAAATTCATTTACATACGATGTTGAGATAAAAAGTACATATAAATGTTTTTCTTCTTTTTAAGTCATTGTTGCTGTTTTTTGTTTATTATTATTATCTAAAAAGCCTAATAATTACGAGTTTATTAAGGCAGTTTGACTAAAACAAGTTTCACTTTAGTTTAATTTGTTTAAGTTAGTTGAATTAAAGTTAATAAAAAAATTTAATAAAATTTTGATCCTTAATTATAAAGGGTGTTTTTTTTAAAGGTATAGAACTTTAAATTGCAATAAAACAACGATGTATTATTCGATTGACCTGAATTTTTTTATTCGAAAGATAATCTTGTGGCATTACATTTTAAATATGATTTCTGGCATAGGACTGCCACGGCTGGCTCGGATGTAGTCCAATCTGGACGTCCAATTTTCGATGACTTTTTCCAACATTTGTGGCCGTATATCGGCAATAACACGGCGAATGTTGTCTTCCAAATGGTCAAGCGTTTGTGGCTTATCCGCATAGACTAATGACTTTACATAGCCCCACAGAAAATAGTCTAGCGGTGTTAAATCACAAGATCTTGGAGGCCAATTCACAGGTCCAAAACGTGAAATTAGGCGGTCACCCAACGTGTCTTTCAATAAATCGATTGTGGCACGAGCTGTGGGACATGTTGTGCCGTCTTGTTGGAACCACAGCTCTTGAACATCGTGATTGTTCAATTTCAGGAATGAAAAAATTAGTAATCATGGCTCTATACCGATCACCATTGACTGTAACGTTGTGGCCTCCATCGTTTTTGAAGAAGTACGCACCAATGATTCCACCAGCCCATAAAGCGCACCAAACAGTCAGTTTTTCTGGATGTAACGGTGTTTCGACATAAACTTGTGGATTAGCTTCACTCCAAATGCGACAGTTTTGTTTGTTGACGTAGCCATTCAACCAGAAGTGCGCTTCATCGCTAAACAAAATTCATTCGCTTAAGAAAATCGGGAACAACGGCAATCTCGTTTTGGGCCCATGCGACGAATCTACGCCTTGCTTGATGATCGTTTTGATGAATTGCCAAACCAAACTGAGAATAAATCACTTGACAGCTGTTAAATCGGTCGCCATCTTAGAAAGTAATGCCAACTTAAACTTCTATACCTGGAAAAAAACACTCTTTATATGCTGAAGCTTTATCTGAGCCTCATTATTTATCATTTTACTCTTTTCAGTATCATGCTATGTGAAATGCTGTTTTAAATTTAGTATTTATTGTTTTTAAATTTAGCTTAAAAAACGGGGGTTGGTAATTTATATTTTTTATCGATATGTTAAGTTATTTATGGGAAATAGATTGGAATAACGTTGCGATATAATTCGTACTCTCTAAGTGTATAAGGAATATTTGAATAATAGTAGATAAACTTTATGATGTGACAGCTTAGTAACTACAGAAAAAAATCCCCCCTCCCCCAAATTGTTTAACGATGGTAAATTATTTTTTTAAAATATTGTATTCTATTTATGTGTTAAACTCCAATATGGTGGAATGCAAACTAAATTTGTAGATTTAAAGTAAGCTGCATCACATCATTTCAAATGATGCTGAAATCAAACCTGCATGATTTAAAAGTATTACAAGAGACATAATTGCTATAATTCTTTAGTTATTATAAAATTATACCGTTGTTAATTTTGTAAGATTTGACAAAAATTACCAACGGTAAATTTTGTAATGCTTGACAAAGCCTTTCGCCTTATTATTAAGCTGTTTTTCAATTTCTACTATTATTTCACTCTCTCCTTATATATATATATATATATATATATATATATATATATATATATATGCTCAAATTTTCAATCGTTAATAAAATACTTTCTATTCATCCATTCAAGTTCAAATACATTTTTTTAAACTTGTAGTGGGGGACACTTGATATTAATACAGTTTCCTCAAACAATAATTCATTAATTAAATTAAAAATGAGTAAATAGTAACAATCAAAATAATAGTCCTACGGCATATATAGAAAGTCGTTCGTAGTGTCCGTGTAGCGCAATGGATAGCGCGTTGAACGCGTTATTCAAAGGTAGTAGATTCGAATCCTACCTGGGCTGACCTAATTTCTGAGAATGTGATTTCTTTTTTACTATACTATTTTATTAGAATATTTAAATTTAATTAATGAATAAATAGTAACAAAAAAATAGTACATCACTCTATATAGAAAGGAAAATGGAAAATTGCAAGGAAAATCGCTTTCTATTTTGCAACTTAGTGTTGTGATTATGTCATATATATATATATATATATATATATATATATATATATATATACACTCTGTCGCAAAAATATATGCACCCAGAAGAAATCAAGCTACAATCACGAAACTCGGCAAAAATGTAGTCTGGTAAGAGATATGCAAATGATTAAAATTTCGAAGCCAATGAGACAAGGCTAAGTGTGCTACGCGCATATTAGTTGCGCAACTGGGAGAGTTTAAAAGCATGAGTACGAGCGCCGTACGGCTATCCAAACGAATCTGATGACTTTGATAGACGATATTGAGACTTAGGATGCCTCTAAGACGTAACCGGCGGCAGTACGAGCAGCTGACGGACTTTGAAAGGGGCCGTATAATAGGCCTCAGAGAAGCAGGTTGGTCGAATAGACGTATCGGCCGCCACCTCGGTCGGAGTGATATGGTAGTTGCTCGGTGTTGGCAACAGTGGATCACAGAAGGTAGAGTGTACCGTCGCAGAGGGTCAGGACGTCCCAGGAACACAAATGATCGCGAGGATCGTGCAATCAGAAGAGTGGCCACTTCGGCACCAACAACGTCGCTAGCATCGATTCAACGCCACTTACCTCCTTCCAGACATCCAGTGTCATCAAGAGAAACCATAAGGAGACGACTGACCGAAGTTGGCTTGAGGAGCCGACGTCCGCTAAGACGCTTACCACTGACCCCACATCATAGGCAGTGTCGACTGGATTTTTGCCGACCTCGGGCAACTTGGAGTGTGACAGACTGGAGACGTGTCATCTCCAGTGATGAATCCCGATTCAGTCTCAGTGATGATGACCACCGCACACGTGTCTGGAGGCGCACCGGCCAGCGGTCCGATCCGGCATTTATTGTCGAGCGGCATACAGCAATTTCACAAGGTGTGACAGTGTGGGGAGCAATTTCTTGGGACACACGATCATCTTTAGTGGTCCTTCAAGGCACTTTGACAGCTCGCAGATACGTGGACGATATTTTAACGCCAATTGTGCTACCCATGCTATCAAGTCGCCCAGGTGCCTTTTATCAACAGGATAATGCTCGTCCACATACTGCGCGACTCTCCCAACAATGTCTTCAAGGATATGACGTCCTACCATGGCCTGCCAGGTCACCAGATCTTTCGCCAATAGAGCATGTCTGGACGCGCTGGGAAGGCAACTGCAGTCGTCCCGAGATACAGGAGAATTAACTGCGCAGATGCAAAGACTATGGCAGGATCTTCCACAGGGGGTCATAAGTGATCTAATTGAATCGATGCCACGCCGAATTTCGGCTTGTATAGCTGCCAGAGGTGGCTTTACTACTTACTGATTTTTAACCTTTTGCAAGCTGTAACCGCTTAATAAAATGATATTTTGTTCTGAATTTTTAATCATTTGTTTATTTTCATATACACTACATGCATACCAAATTTCGTGAATGTAGCTCAATTTCTTCTGGGTGCATATATTTTTTTGCGACAGAGTGTATATATAGGCTTTATGCTTTCCATCGCAAATTCCAATGTTAGTACACAGCTGCAATAACCCCACTTATCGTTCCTAAGTCCGAGGTTGCACTTGGATATTTTATAAATTTTTATTTTTTAATTTTGTTTGAAAACGATGGAATTTTATCTTCTATATTCGCCATTGATATTTTGAAATAGGATTTAGTATTATAAGATTCGTATATTTCAATTTTTTAATTTATTACTGTGATTGATTGTTGATGATTGATTTTATGTATTTAAATATATATATATATATATATATATATATATATATATATATATATATATATATATATATATATATATATATATATATATATACATATATTAATTGTAACTATTTAATAAAAACTAACTAAAATAATAATAAAAAAGTAATCTTTTCTTTGTTTACCTAAGTAGGAATTGACTTAAAAAATTCTTTTTATAGTACTTATTATTAGTATGATCTTATGTTGGATCGTAATTACCTAAATGCTCTGTTTTAATAATTAAAAGTTGAAATAATAAATTACTTAAATATTTTTAAATCCTTCAAAAGTTACGTCTGAAAAACGAGAATGGAAGCAACTAAACTTGACATAATTACAATCACATTGCCTGAGTTCTTTGATGCATGTATAAATTGTTAAATGCTTAAGATTAATAAAGAGTGCATAATGGAATCTTTAAAATTAAATTTGGTCCCGATTATTTTTAATAACTGACTATTTCCTGCTTCTTTTAACTATTCTGATTGGTAAGATATTTAGAACGACGTACTAAATCAAAATCATGAGCAATCTTATATTTCGATTTGGATATGATGGAAATTTCTGAGATTCCAAACGGACAGCAGATGTTTGATGTCATTTGTCTTTAAAATATTTTGAAGATCTAGCTATTCTGAAAAGCCGTTGAATTTCTAATTTTTAACTACCATTAGTTGTTTTCATATGCCTAAAATGATATTTTAGAATGTGTCTTGAAAGTTGCTAAATGTGTTCATTTTCAGTTAAGGCTGAAAGTAAGTAATTATTTCAATCCTATTAGGGAAATTTGTAACATTTGTCATTTCATATATATTTTAATACTCTCTCTCTCTCTTTATATATATATATATATATTGTATTGTTATGCAAACTAGTTTTTTTAAGCGTGGCTATAATTTTAAAGTAAAAGATTACATTATTAAACACTGCAGCCTCTTTCTATCTATCAGAACAAGATATATAAGTTCGAGTTTTTTATTTGAAATTTTAAGTAATATCGTACGAAGAATAAAAAAAAAATTTACAGTGTATACAGAAAAGTTAACTTCCACGATCTTTTAGCATATGAATGGCACTCATCTAGTAAGTCTAATTGCTAAATGTGTCTTGTTTTATCTTCTCAGATGATTTTACGTTAGTGTACCTAGATTTAATTCAATATGCAAAAGATACTCTTAACTGTAACCATATTTTTTTTCGCGAAAATTTTTTATAGTTCTGTTTTAAAACAAAATATCTCTAGATTTAAAATTAATTATTTGTTATTGGTGTTAATTCAACATTATATATAGTCGTTACATATTTGTACAAGAATCTCTCACATTAAAAATACTGTTTTTGAAGATCACAACCTAAATCAAAATGTAATTCACAGAAATATACAAAGAGCATCGAGAGTTTGTTAAATATGTATCTTACTTTTTGTTAAATAATTAAGATTTTCAATTTTTTAAAGGCAACATTTTAATGCAAATTTTCTGTTTTAAACAGATATTTTTTAATAGAAGAATTTGAAATTTTTAATCCATAACGTCGTGTTTATTTTTTTTTATGTAATGGTCTTTATAAATTTTTTTGAAGAATCATAGAACAATTCAAATAAAACATATGCTAATACATTCAAAATATTATTTTTTTTTAAAAAAAAGGGGGCTGTGATTCTCCTTTTATTATCTCAATTTGACTTGCTTATAATTTGTCATAACTTATATCGTTTTTTGTAAATCGCTATATCGTAAAATATCCATCTAAGTCTATTGTTCAGCACTTTAGTTCAGCATTTGATTGAAGTTCGGTTTTTCAGTGATTCTAACAATATTCAGACATTGATATAACTTATTTTACCTCAAACTATTTTAAACAACTTATGATGATTTAAAGTTATTTCATAGAAAACACATGAGTGAATTTTAAATGAAGGAGGATGGTGGAGAACCAGATAACTTTTGAACTATTCTGGCTTTATCGACAACCACAGATACCACAAGTCATCCGTTATAATGGAATAAGATGCCTTTCCCCTATTTGAAGAAGCTTGGAAGACAATCATACAGAGATCTTGACATTTATAAAAAACTAGAAGGGACCCAAGCTAAAGGATGACCACCGACTAGAAGGTTGGATGTCATTGAAAAAGACTTAAATATTTTGAAAATTAAAAATTGGAGAGGAGTCATTACAAATAGTAGACACCGGAAAGAGCGCATGGTTGAGGTAGCTAATGCCTGTAAGAGGCTGTTGTGCTTTTGAAGAAGAATTTTAAATGTTATGTTATCTTATGAAAATAGCTTGACTTTTAGTTTTTATGTATTTTAAAACTTAGCCATGATTTCTTAATAAATTAATTATTAAACTGCATATTCATCGGATTTATTTGTCAGTCCTTTTTCTAACTTTTAGCATTTATTTTTAAAGTTGATATAAAGATATTTAAAAAAAATATATAAATGGGGCATCTCTTAACCTTTAGAACATTTCTTATAAATAAAAATAGAATAATAATATAATTGAACATTTTTAAAGTATTTAAGCTATTTAAGACATTTAGTTTGATTAGAAATTGGACAACCTATAATAACTCTGGAGAAAATAAATTAAATATAGATAAAGTACATATATACATGCATATCAAATTATATGTATAATTTCTCTCAGTTTGTTAATCCCTGTAAGAAACACCTGTCAGACCAAGGTTTGTTGCTATCCTGTTGCTGTGGTAACTTATGACCCATTTTTTACTTATACAAGAAACTTGTGTCATAAATTACTGACTTGAGAAAAAGTAGTTTTAGTTATTTTACATTTAAAAAATAAGAGTTTAAGTACTTCTTTGATTGATGAATTTCTTGAAACGACGACTATCAGAGAGATAGTAAGTGCATTGATGAAACATAATACCGCTGTGGTAAAGCCAAATGAAAAAAAGGTTACAAGATTCGTAATTATTTATTTTTAATTTTGTTTAATAGAACTATCTATGAAGAATATATTTCTTATATAAAACCATAACGAGGGAGAGAGATTTCCCTTCTACATTATTTTCCGAATTTTATAATCATTCAAGCTACTTTAAAGAGCATCTT